TCTCTGTTGTAAAGGTTCTCCCCCATAAGGTTTGGCCCATAAATCCCTGAGCAGACCAATTTCATTCTTTGTTTTTTTTTTTTTTTGAGACAGAGTCTCACTATATCACCCTCAGAAGAGTGCCATAGTATCACAACTCACAGCAACCTCAAACTCTTGGGCTTAAGCGATTCTCTTGCCTCAGCCTCCCAAGTAGCTAGGACTACAGGTGCCTGCCACAATGCCTGGCCATTTTTTGGTTGTAGTTGTTTGTCAGGCCCAGGCTGGGTTTAAACTTGCCAGCTGCAATGTATATGGCTGGCACCCTAGCCACTGAGCTACAAGCGCTGAGCCCAGCCACCATATTTTTTAGTTGCCCACACATGTCAGACTGTCCTCCTGAAGCTTACAGTCTGGTAGCAGTGGCAGACACATCGTCGATGATGAGGATATGAAATAAGAGTATATCCAAAGGCCAGGCACAGTCACTCACACTTGTAATCCTAGCATTTTGGGAGGCCAAGGCAGGAGGATCACTTGAACCTAGGAGTTTGAGACTAGCCTGGGGCAATACAGTAAGACCCTGTGTCTACAAAAAAAAAAATACTTTTCAATTAGCCAGGTGTGGTGACATGAACCTGTAGTTCTAGCTACTTGGAAGAGTGAGGCAGGAGGATTGCTTGAGGCCAGGAGTTTGAGGTCACAGTGAGTTACGATCACACCACTACACTCTAGCCCAGACAACAGAGTCTCTATGAAGCGAAGAGTACATCTAAACTGGAGTTGGGTGGTGGTGATGATAATGCGGTAATGTCAATGTGAATGTTACTTAATGCCACTGTACACCTGAAAATGGTTAAGATGGTAAATTTCATGTTATATGTATTTTATCACACTTTTTAAAAATAAAGTAAAACGTGGGGGAAAAGAATATATCTAAAGAACCTACCATGGTGCTGCACATAGTTTAACATTTCCCTACATTCTATTTTTCATAGTATGCCAAGCTATCATTCCAAATTACTCAAATTTTACCCTGTTACAAGGGCTTTCTTTTGGCTGAATTTTCTGGTTAGATGTACAGATTAGGGGCAACTGAGGCTTCTCTGTTGTAAAGGTTCTCCCCCATAAGGTTTGGCCCATAAATCCCTGAGCAGACCAATTTCATTCTTTGTTCATTAGTCTTTAGCTGAAGATTGTTTTCATTATGAAAAGTGAAACAGAATTCTAAAAGCTGCATTAGTTATCCCTCATAAGTCTGTTGTGGTTTATTTCTTCTAAAGCAATTCCTGAGAAACAGGAAGGCACTCAGAGTTAGAGGCAAGAAGTCAGAGGCTCCTTAGTCTCCATCTGCCGGGGACCTACCTGGCTGTCTGGTGTGCAAAACAGAAAAGGCTGCCTCTGCCTGTTCACTGGCCCAGGCATGCCGAGGTGTTGCCTCAAAAGAGGAGAGACTCTGTCTCATCTTCTTCACCAACCACTCCCTCGCTCAGTAGGCCTCGGGCTGAGAAAATCACACTTGCAAGACCCAAGGAAAGAAAGTAGGAAATCAGTGGATGTGAACTGAGAAAGTAATTATTGATGGTGAGCACCATGGACGGAGCAGTGATTATTTCAGGAAAGAGCCTGGACCTGAATCTGTCCTGAGCTCATCTTCCTTAGTCCCAAGAAGAAATAGTTCACTTTCATTTCACTCTCAAATTTTAGCATATGAGTGAAATATCTGGGTTTAAATTGAAATAAGATACTTCTTTTGTCTTAAATATAATTCAGTAATGGTGCAGATCTTAAGGAGATAGTGTAGCTAAGCAAAAAATGTTTATAAGGTCTGGTTAGCAAAAGAATGAGGCCGGGGGCAGTGGCTCATGCCTGTAATCCTAGCACTCTGGGAGGCCGAGACGGGTGGATCTTCTGAGGTCAGGAGTCTGAGAGCAGCGTGAGCAAGGGTGAGATCCCATCTCTACTATAAATAGAAAACTAGCTGGGTATTGTGGCAGGTGTCTGTAGGCTCAGCTATTTGAGAGGCTGAGGTCGGAGGATCATTTGAGCCTAAGAGTTTGAGGCTGCTGTGAGATATGACGCCACAGCACTCTACCCAGAGTGCCAGAGTGAGACTCTTGTCTCCAGAAAACCAAACAAAAAGAGAGTAAATACATAAATTTAATATCTTTTAAATAACTGTTCCTATTTATCCTTGGAAACCTCATTTCCAGATTAAGAAGGAACATCTTAGGAAAAGTTGGAGGTAGAATGTGTTCAAAACTCAATTCTGCTCCTTAAAACTTGGTGGACTCTGGGGAAGTTATTGAACCTCTTTATTACCTCCATTTCTTAATCTACAAAAATGGTACCAACAATGTCACAGGATTGTTTCAATGATTAAATGAGATAATGTTTGTAAAGGACTCAACATAGCACCTGGCACATGGTAAGCATTCAGTAAGTGGTAAGTTTATACAAGAAGATCACTATGAAGCTTAGAGGGCAATAGTTGGGTAAATTGGTTCAGAGAGGAAGGGGAGACAACCCTAAAAGCAGAAAAAATATTTTCTTTAATTTGTCTCTGATCCTGCTGTTTCTTCTGGCTTCTCTGTTATCTCTGAATTTACAAATAACATTTATCCTTCAAGATGTACAAGTACTTGAAGGATATCTGTATAAGATGCCACATTAACTACACATACCACTTCCTCCACAAAGCCCTCCAGGTTATCTCAGCCATAAGTGATCACTTCCTTAATTTTTACCTTTTTTGTGGCATCGCTCTCTATATGATATTACAGTTATTTGCATAACTCTGTCATCTGCCTTATGATGCAGTGTCCTGAAGGAACAGGACCTTATCTTTTCTATTTTGAGTTCTTCCTAATACTTAGCACTGAGCATTGCATATAGACTTGGTTGTGTGACTAAAAGGCCACCAAGACCGAAACTTGCCCATGAGCAAGATGGTGTTCTCCTGAACGTGTTTCAATTGTATTCTTTTCTGTGTGTGTGTAGGGAGAGCCTAAAGTGTAGGAGTGGATTTATAACAGTTGGTCTCATTGATACCTGTCCTTGAGAGCTGAGTAACTTGTGCCTCATTGCCAAAGTTATCATCAAATGTAATATTCAAGGTGAAGGATGCAGAGTGCTAAGTTGCTTTTTTTTTTTCCTTTCTTTTCTCTTGTTTTTCTTTTGAGGGGAAAGGGTAAAGAATGAGGGAAATAACTCATCTTTTTTGTTTTTTAATGCAGGTGGGAGTTATGGGTAACTCCCAAGTATCTGTACAAATGAAAATAATTAACTTTGCTACTCCAGAAAAAATTTTTAATCCCAAAGTCATTTATTTTGGCTTTAGAATAGACTTACATTTGTGTCGGATTTTCCTGCCTAATTACATTTTGCTTAAGCTTATTTTAAAATTGTTTTAAATTCCTTTAGTAGGACAGCCTAGGAAAGTGGGGTGGGAGAAAAATGGGCCCCAGATGGGATCTGAACGAGAACTTTAGTTTTGCTACATCAAGGCCTCCTGAGGCACTGCTTGTAGGAGGGCAAAGTTGAAGTCAGCTTTGTGGAGAATAATTTGGCAAAATATTTTTTAAAGTCTTAAAAATATGCTTACTCTTTGATCCAGTAATTCCACTTCTAGGCATTTGTCCTCAGGAAATAATCAAACAGGCATGCAGAAATGTAGGGACAATTATGTTCACTACTACATTTATATCAGCAGAAAAAACAAAACCAACTTAAAACGTTGAATAATACAGAACTGATTAAATAAGGTATACCCTGTTATCTCTACATGTTGTCAAAATTATAGACCTTAAAAATGTTTACCATTGTACCCTCAATAAATCCCCAACAATAAAAAAAAATGTTTACCACATCTAAGTCAAAAAGAGACTATAAAATAGTATGTACAGTTTGAAATAGCACATAAACACAGAGATGATAGATGGATGGATGGATGGATAGATAGATAGATGGATGGATGGATTCATTCCTGTCTGGAAAATGTTCATACATTTTTGTATTTTTCAAGTTTTCTCTTAAACATATATTCCTTTTTAATCAGAAAAAGCAACTATAATATAATTTTTTTTTTTTTTGAGACAGAGCCTCAAGCTGTCCCCCTGGGTAGAGTGCCGTGGCATTACAGCTCACAGCAACCTCCAACTCCTGGGTTCAAGCAAGTCTCCTGCCTCCGCCTCCCAAGTAGCTGGGACCACAGATGCCCACCACAACGCCCGGCTATTTTTTGGTTGCAGCCGTCATTGTTGTTTGGCGGGTCCGGGCTGGGGGTTCGAACCCGCCACCTTAGTTGTACGTGGCTGCCACCTTAGCTGGTTGAGCTATAGGCGCCGAGCCTATAATATAATTTTTTAAAGAATATATGTTTAATGTACCAATGGAAAAAATAAACTTGCTGTGTAATGCCCACAAAGTAGGTAATCTAAATAGGAATAATTTAGAATTGATGTATTTTTTTAAGAATCACATGCGAAATCAGCAATACATGAATTAAATATACCATAGTTAAATTGTTTCCCAAGTGAAATAACCACATTCAGCAAAAATCTGCAAAGGTACAATTAGATTGTAGCATGGGTGTCCTGTCTTCTGATGCCAGCACTGCAGAGCAGACTCGTTTTGAGCTAAGGGAACCAGTTGTGCAGAGCTGCAAAGACCAATAGTTTTTCTGGGAATTACATGCAAAAAAATTTTATTGCCCAAATAACATTATAAGATACTGGGAACATTTTAAATCATTCTTGATCTTCTGAAAGCAATTCCCAATGAGATTTTTTTTATTACTTCCCATGTCTGTTCATTATCATCATCTCAGAACTCTAAATCCAAAGGTCTGAATAGAGAAAGAGCAAATGTATTGTTCAGAAATGATGAAGAAAGCCATAAACCTCTGATGACCCTGAAAATAACTCCTGGCTCACATGTTAAAGAACTCTCCTTTATATGATCAGCTGCAGGGGAAATTTGTTCTTCACTGTTTACAAGCTTCAGCTCTGTACACAGACGGGGTTCTATTTTATTTGCAGTCCCTAAATTCCTAGGATACCACATGGCTTCTCTGAAGGAAAGGGCTTGCAGGTCTGGCTCCCTGTCGTCTAAGGTCAGAGGGAAAAGCCTTTTGTGGATTAACTCAGACGCACTGTGTCCTTGGTATTTGGAACTTCAGTAGTTTTTGATTACTTCTCTAAGTTTGAACATCAACCCAAATAATCTTCATATAATAGAAAAAACCAGATCAATCTAGCTTTTTTTTTTTTTTTGAGACAGAGTTTCACTATGTTGCCCTTGGTAGAGTGATGTAGTGTCACAGCTCACAGCACCCTCAAATTCTTAAGCGATTCTCTTGCCTCAGTCTCCTGAGAAGCTGGGACTACAGGCACTTACAACAACGACCAGCTATCTTTTTGCTGTAGTTGTCGTTGTTTAGCAGGCCAGGCCAGGGCTTGAACCAGTGTATGTGGCTGGCATCCTATTCACTGAGCTACACGCCAAGCCCCATCTAACTCTTTTGACTCCAAAGTGAATCCCAGTTTTTACAGTAGCTGAGAACTTGGGCAAGTGAACTTGCTCAATTTGAAAGTGAGAATTTCAGTTTCCTGACTTAGGAGCATGATGCCTTCCCAACTCACCTCGCAGGGCTGTTCTGTGTCAGTCATAAAGCCACAGTTATGGGTCTTTGTATACACTCTGCCTTTCCCTTATTTCTGACAGTTTCCTTATGCTGCCCCACCTCCCCAAGAGCCTGTGAAGACTCTCAGAAGCCTGATCAACATCCGAAAGGACACACTAAGACTGGTCAAGTAAGTTCCCCCAAGGAGGTGAGGGGCTGGGGCTGGGGCTGGGCTCCAGGGCCCTCCTTCGTGGTGGCCGCAGACTCCTCAGAGGACTGGCCCAGAGTGTTCTGCCAGCCTCAGAGTGCACCTCACCAGGCTCATATGTGAGTTCCAGGAGCTGCTCGTCTGCTGAGATGATCAAGCCCTTCACACCCATGTTCAGAGCCCCATGCAAGTAGTCTATGAAGACCTCTCATTTGTCTGGAAGTGATCATTGTCATCCTTATTTTATGAATGTTTTTAAAAAGGAAGAAAAATTATTGAGAAAAAAGGAATTTTGTGGATATCCCAACAAGCCAATGTAAGAATGGGAAACTTGAACTTGAAGTAATGAAATCCATAGTTTATTGCTTATGTTTACTTTTTATTCCTAATCTCAGGCCTTTCCTCTATAGAACTCAGTGCTCTGGTTGGTTGTTTGTAATCCTCCTCATCAATACTGTCGTCAACATTTGCCTTCTTTGTGCTATCCTCTCACTAGAGTAATTTTTCCTCCCAGGATGGACTTGGTGAGGTAAATCAGAGGCCCTGAATTCTTCTGAATGGGCAAGAAGGATGACTCAGAGACCAATTCATGCTTATATAGTTCAGCCTTATTAACATTAGGAAGTTTACTAAGACTATAACAGCTTCATTGAGATGTAATTTATGTACCATTAAACTTACTCATTTAAAGTATACAATTCAGTGGTTTCAGGGTACGCACAGAGTCACAGGTCATTATCACTATCAACCCTTAGAACATCTCCATCACCCCAAAGAGAAATCCATACCCATCAAGTGGTCACTCCTCATTTCTCCCCAAGTCCCGCCCTCAGCCCTAAGTAACCACTAACCTATTTCTGTCTTTTTCCTAATTCTTAACATGTTATTTGTCCCTGTACCTGCTACTAGTTCCCCAGCTATACTTCTCTTCACCCCTGGGGTCAACACTGGGGAGGAGCCAAGGAAATACTTGTCTACTGTAGAACTGTCACTCTTCCCCCAGGAGGGTCCCCATAGCAGCAGAGGAGACTGAGCCTAGGAGGGGTCAGAGCCTGGCCATTGTCAGCCACTCCATTAACATGGCCTCTCTTGTCACATAAGGGGTGTTCACACATATATTAGAAATGGTTCAAGGTCCTGAGCTGTGGCAAGTCTTGGCCCCTGCCTTGGCAGCCCAGCTCCAGCTTCTAGGCCATGATATCCTAGAAGAACCAGATGTGGAAGCAGAACACCACTTATCCAGGGATAACCACTCAAAGAGCCTCTGGGTCTTTGAGCTTCAGGTTTTACATCCACAAATTAGTGATGCCCAAGGTTACCATTCATGGTGGTCATCCAAGTTAAATGAGCTAACATCCATAGATGTTTAGGTGAAGGGCATTTTTTTTCTGAGACAGTCTCAAGCTCTCACCCTGTGTAGAGTACTATGGGTGTCATAGCTCACAGCAACCTCCAACTTTTAGGCTCAAGCGATCCTCTTTCCCCAGTTTTTCTATTTTTAGTGGGGTCTTGGTTTTGCACAGGCTGGTCTTGAACTCGTATACTCAAGCAATCCACCCGCCTTCACCTCCCAGAGTGCTAGGATTCTAGGCATGAACCACCACGCCTGGCCTTTTTTTTTTTTTAGTTTTTGGGATTCATTGAAGATACAAAGAATTAGGTTACACTGATTGCATTTGTTAGAAAATAAGGAACACTTAACGAGTTTGCATGTCATCCTTGGGCAGGAGCCATGCTAATCTTCTCTGTATCATTCCAGTTTCTTAGTATATGTGCTCCCAAAGCAAGCATTATTTTGCTTTTCTGAGATTATGAGAATAAATTCTGATTCTCAGATTTCCAGGTAAAGATGAAAGATTGAACATCTACTTTTTTGCTTTTTCTCATAACCCCACTAAAAATAAAAGCATTTTTGAAAAGCATAAATACAAGAATTGAGAGAATGGGAGAGGAGCAATAGCAACAAAATTCTAGAAGCTAGAAACATGTGGTGACCCAGGAAATCAACATCCTGAAGGAGCAGAAGGGAAAGCCGAAAACCGCTCAGCTTATACTGTGATGTCCTCAAAGGCTCAGAAATTGGCTCTAGAAGTCAAGGTGGGAGATTACAAGGAAGAGGACTGCTGAAAAGTCTTCCCAGGAGGTAGTCAGATCCCTACACTTGCACAGCACAGCCTGAACCGTTCTTCCCGCGCTCTGGCAAATGTCACAGGAGAAGAGAAACTCTAGACTTGGGAGCACAGCTGAGGCCAGACTCAGTACCAAAAGCAGGGAGGGAGTGAGTTCTGGCACACTGGATGCTGGACCCTCCAGCCTGCCTCCCCTCTCTACCCCCAGAGTGCTGGTACCAGTCTTTGTCCAGCGAGAGGAGAACGATTTTCTGGGAATTGGACCTGCCTGGATAGGAAAATCTGAGACTAGAATTAAGTACATCAACAGACTCAGATCATCCCACAGTGTAGCCCAGTTTTAAATTTCTCAAATATGAGCAGACAGATTCTCAGATGTGTAAAGAATGTGTATAATAAAAAAGACAGTTGCAAAATAAACCAACAGAAAAAAAAAATACTAATGGGGCATTAAAACCTATGTGGGAAGAAGAAAACTTCATTAATGACCTCAGAGACATCAGAGAAGATAGTAACCTATTTCATGGACACAATGACACAAAGCATTTAGGAAACAAAAATAATTGCTCTTAGAAATTAAAAACCTAGACCTGGCATGATGGCTCACACCTGTAATCCTAGAACTCTGGGAGGCTAAGGCAGGTGGATTGCTTGAGCTCACAGGTTCAAGACCAGCCTGAGCAAGAGGAAAACAGCGAGACCCTTCTCTACTAAAAATAGAAAACTGAGACAATGGGCGGTGCCTGTGGCTCAGAGGAGTAGGGCGCCAGCCCCATATGCTGGAGATGGCGGGTTCAAACCCAGCCCTGGCCAAAAACTGCAAAAAGAAAATCTGAGGGAAGAGGATCATTTGCGCCCAAGAGTTGAAGGTTGCTGTGAGCCATGATGCCATGGCCCTCTACCCCAGGGGACAGCTTGAGACTCTGTTGCCCCCCAGAAAAACTTTAAAACCTAGTAACAGAGATGAAAAATATCCTACTATCCTATTCAATAGGATAGTAGGAAGAAAAGCTGAAATATTCTAGAAAGTGGAGCAAGAAGGCAGAGAGATGAAAAATATGGCTC